CTACATATTAACTAAAATCAAGAAATAATACATATGTACAGGATATTACATATATACTCCAAGAAAAATAATCTCCTTAGCAAAGATGCAAAGAAAACTAAAATGGAATAAAAAATATCTCAGCAATATAAAATACGTATCAAAAAATCCATATCTAGCGAAATAAATGTTGTTAGAGACACATCAATGTCTAGCGTCAATAATGCTATTTAAATTTTTAATAAGTTTATCGAATATCATAAAGTCACGAACATGACTCAAGCCGGTATTCATAGTTGATTCTTATTTCAAGACTTAGTCTTCAAGTTATTTTTTAAAGATGCTAATACGGCTGTTATTAGCTTATGGCAGTTTAAGATTGTACTTAAGATGATTTTAAATATAAGAGTCGACTATAAATACCGGCCTCAATCCTATCACTTATGTTTACATTTCATAGTCTCTTGCATAGTCTTTTTGATCACTAAATCTTCTGCCATTAAATTTTTATTTCTGTAGTATAATGAAGAAAATGGTCAATATTCAAACATGAAGAAATGAATTCGTTTGCATAACATTATTGCTGACGTATTGCAAAAGACATATTAATCATTTTTGTGGCAAATTAAATTTTATAAAATATTAAAAAATAGCAATCATATAAAAAATATTTATCTAACTAAATATGATATACTTTTCAATACAATAGAATATCTTATATTATATTTCACTTTATGTTCCATATTATATCTATTATTTCCATTAAAACTATTCTTTTTAAAACACATATACTCTCCTTCCCCTCTCCTCCCCTCTCTTCCACTTTCCTCTATTTCTCCCTTCCCTCTTCTCTATCTCTCAGCATGCATGCACACACGTAGCTTTTACGATAAAAATATTTATAGAAAATTTGTATCAAAAGTATAAAATACTAAATAAAAAATTTATTTAAAACGTACCTCTATAGGCAACTGGTTATACTTGTTTGGCAAGATCTTAATGCATTGAGAATAAGAGACAAGAATACGAACGACATCCTTAAAACCAAATTTAACAGCAAAATGTAACGGAGTTTCATTGAGTCCTTTGTCTGGTGTATTTAAGTATAAATCCTGCATAATTTCCGCAGGATTTAAGTAAGTTTTACATTTATCTTCCCCATAATGCCACTGCATAAATTTGGGATCTCCAACGGTATTCAATATGAATTCGCACATTTCCGGCTTGCCTTTTTTCGCCGCTATGTGTAAAGCATTATATCGGGAGCCCATCTATAAAATATAAAATATAGTTGTTTACTATAAGAAAATATAACATTTGCTATATAAATAAATATGTATTAATTCTAATATAAAATTATAAATAATTACGATTGTGTTAAATTTGGTAGACATATACAATATTTTATTATGGTATAATTTCACATTATAATTTCGTTGTTATAATAATGCATTAATAATGATACAACAGAAATGTTGATTACATATAAAATAACTTCTGGATATATACCTATTTGCAAGATGTATATAAATAAAAGTAAAAACTAAAAGTAAAAAATAAAAGTAAAACTTACATTCTTGATAATTACATGTTAAGACAAATAAGATAGTAAAGTTTAAATAAATATAATTGTAAGTCATAAATTTACCTGCAAAATGGCAGGCGTATCTCCGCTACTGATTAGATATCTCGGATTTTCCCATACAATATTCTTCACAGCCTCCAAATCTCCGTCTTCGATTAATCTTTTAAAAGCTATCAGTTCCTGCGTGCTTGGTGCTTTAAAATTACTAGAATCTTGCACCGTAGCAGTTGTCACAGACTGACTGCAAGAAGATTGTTTGCAGCCAGTTCTTGCATATGCTATAGCATCAAAACGATTCTTAAAACTTTTCAAGCGGCCTTTCTTACATGTTTTTATCACTTTTAAGGCAGCCTGTATCTCTGGATAAACGTGAAGAGTTTCTATAAAAGAGAATCATAATAACATTAATTAAAATTATTACATAGTTTAATTAAAGTTATACAAATAAGTATCTGATATATGCTATCGGTATTTTTATTAATTTTAAAAAGTATTTATATCAATCTGATTTAATCTTCTAAATTTTAATAACTATAACAGTTTTCTACATAATGTTACACTAGATTTAGAAAATGATTATGCACTGTCGTATAAGATTTCAAAAGCGTACAAGTTTCTACTAAAAAATTTTCTTTGCAAAACTGCATAAAAACAATTTAATGGTAACAGAATGTTTTATATAGAAAGAAAAAGAGCGTTTATTCAAAAGATATCAAGATATTAAAAGAAGTGCTTAAAAATAATTGTTTCGTGCGGAGCCTCGGCCGCCCCGATTCTAGGCGATCGTGCAACTTCCTGTTGTTCGACATTTCAATTATTCGCTCGGTATTTTGTTTTTTTGGTTTTTGTCAAGTCAGAGGCGGCCGAATTCCTTTCGGCGGCTTCGAGTTCAGTTCAATCGAAGTCATCGTCGTATCGACCTCGCAGTGACGTACACTCGCTCACTAAAAGGTTGCGACAATTTTTTTTTATAGGTTTCTAATTTATATTTAATATACGTAATATATACTTTATAGATAACTAATATTTTGCAAATGCAAACCACGATGTACTATCTTTAGTCTAGAG